GGGGGGAGGGGGAATAGGGTGAGCGTTGAGTACGATGGGTACGTACATGTACAGTATACAGTATGGGTACCCGTACTCCTGTAGCTCGTAAGAGAAGGAAATGTTAGTAGAATGTATGAGAATGGAAGGAGAAGACTGTGAGGGTGGATGGATGGGTACGGCGTGACGTGTGTGATATGGGGTTTTGATGGTGGTGGTGGTGGTGGCGGTGGTGGTGAAGGTGGTGAAGGTGTAGGCAGTCACGGTACGAGTAGTCTGTAAGTGTAATATGTATCGTATCGTATGCCCGCCCTTGTGACGGCAATCATGAGATGCTTGTGGTGTCGGGTACGGTACGTATGCAAGTCTGCAGCCGTGGTGAAACTGGCCTCTACATGCCGGTACAGCCACTGCAGCAGTACATGTCGGGCTGCTGTATATTCGGTACATGCTGAGCAGTAGACTGTATCGGCCGTATCACCACCACGATATTACGATGGAAGACATGTAACGATGCCGAGTACGGGTACATGCTGCTCCGTACCTGTATCCGCAAAGCGAAGGATGCAGTTTCTGAAACGCGGGCAGAGAACAGAGACTTGGTTAGCAAGTTTTCTTTTTTTTTTTTCTGGGTTGTTGTTTCTGTTTTGTCTTGGGCAATAAGATGGCAGGAAATAATGCTATTATATAATAGTCTTGATACTGTACATGCATCATTATATTATATATGTATATATATAAATGCACGATATATAGAAAGATGTACAGTACAAGATAAGATATACTGGATATGGAGATGTACATGATATGAAGATTTGCATATATGTGTACATACATATATATACATACATGCATACATATATATATATATATATATACACGGGACAGTGATATATATCACGATACTGGAGGATTTCTCAACCACTTATCCAATAACCTCCACCGACTGCTGATAGCACGAATACCGTATATATACAACACTACCGTAATCCGTACTACTGACTATCATTACCGCTATAGCCAGCTCTACCGTACAATGTACCACCTGCACTCCTTACTTGGCATTTACCAGTCAGACATTCCTGGGGTGGGGTTTTTTTTTTGTAAATGAAAAAAGGAAAGAAAAGGTGGGAATGTTTCAATGGTAAGATACCGTTGTACGAATACGGATAGGTATTTTACGATATTATACGAGTTATGTACGAAGCAGACAACTGCTGCCAGCTGCTGCCAGCAGTGTAGAGAGCTACGAAAAGCTTCAGTCAAGTCAGCATTGTACCATTTACCTTTTTTTTTCTTCTTTTTCTTTTCTCTTCTTCTTCTTCTTTCGTATCTGTCCGATCATGCATGGAGGAGTATTATTACAGCCATGCATGACAACCTCCCCAATTTTTCCTTTTAAATTTTTTTAAAAAAAAATTCAATTCAAGTCATGTGATTACGATGGCCGATAAGAGACACGCTCCCTATATCTTATCGTCTTATCAGTTTCGTAAGACAACCAGAGGAAAGCTGTCAGCTAAAGATTACCAATGTCAATTTCCATCGCTCTCTACTCTCTCTCTCACTCTCTCTCTCGTTCGGGTCCTCCACTTACCTACAATCAAATCAACAATCGAGACCGACAGACCATAACAACAACAGCAACGACAGCAAAAACTGAACCAACCTAGCCCCATCAACCTCATCTACCCTCCGTCAAAGATGGACATGTACGTACAGAAAAACCTCGCGGGATATCTCGCCGCCCGGAAAAAACTGTAGGGACTGACAAGGAAAACCCTTTTTTTTTCACTTCTATCTCAGGCTATCATCTGCCGAGCAGCGTACGCTGGAGCAGCGCATGCAGAAGCGTCAAGTAAAGGAGTTTATGGGTGTATGTTGACTTTTTTCTTCTTCTCCTCCCCTTCTTCCTCTTCACTTCCTTTCCTCCTTCTCCATCTCTCCACTTTCCACTCTCCCAGAAAGAGAAAAGAAAAAGTGAAAAGAGGTGTATATATAAAAGACTTACTGACCGAGACCGACTGTTCTCAGGCATTTGGTGGTCTCGTGGAGAACTGCTTCGGTTCCTGCGTCGACGACTTCTCTTCCAAGTCCCTCTCCTCCCGTGAGACAGGCTGCCTCAACCGCTGCGTCCTCAAGTGGATGGCTACCCAGCAGCGCGTCAGCGATCGTTTCCAGGAGCACAACACCATGCTCGCTCAGCAGATGCAAAAGTGAAGAGTGAGGAGGAGAGTGGCGAGAGAGACTCGGATACCGATCGACCGACACACAACATACCCACATCCACACACACGCGCGCGCGCGCACACACACACACACACATACACAGACATGTACACATCACGAACGGAATCTCAGAAAGTTCTCAACTCTCGCCTTACTGCCGACACTATTCACTATTGTTATAATATGATATATATGTTGTATAATATGAGGGGGGGGAGGGAAAGAAACCTATTTTCTTTTTGAAAAAAAAAATAGAAGGGGGAGAGGGGGGAGGCCACGAGGGGTTGGATAGCTAAATATGGCTTGTACTATACTTATACGTTATACAGGAGAATAAACGTCTACATAAAAAAAGAGGGAGAGAGAGAGAGAGAAGAAGAAAGAAGACACCGAATCATTCTTGACCCATACACATATCAACCCCAATCATCGACATCAGAATACATCAATGACAACTATATTCCAAACGCCTCTGCAACTAATACACATTTTATTTTGCCCTTCTTCCCCCTTCACCCCAATAATCCAGCTCCCCCCCCTCTCTGAGATTCTCTACTCCACATCTTCACTCAGTACCGTACGCACAGCCTCCAGCTGTGAAATCACCTTCTGCTCCAACACATTGTCTCCCCTTCCCTTGACCTTGGTCGCCCTCCAGTCCATCTCCCGCTGACCCAGTGGCATCAGCCTCTCCTTCAGAAGCTTGTTGCTCGCCAGCCAGAACTCGACATTCTCCAGCAGACCCGTGGCGTCCCACTCCACCTCGCCGATGTCGCCGTTGTTGACCCGCAGCGCCCCCAGCACCCGCGTCAGCAGCGCCAGCGAGTGTATCTCCGACGTCCCCAGCAGAGTTACGTACTGCGCCGTCGCCTTCGACTGCGTGCGGCTGGCCCCGGGCACTTCGAACCTCTCGATGCTCAGCCTCAGCAGCTGCGGGAACTGGTTCAGCACGTACGCGATCTCGGGCGCCACCGTCGCCCCCAGCGCCGTCAGAAGGTTCAGCATCAGCGGCAGGAGACCCTTGACCCAGATGCTGTAGCACCGCTGCGACGTGGCCGCCTCGGCGTACGGCGAGATCCGCGCCTTGAGCATGTACTTGGTCAGGTTGGACGTCAGCAGGACGCTCAGGATCCCGTCGCACGCCATCTGCTCCGCCAGCATCGGCAGCGTCGAGAGCTCCAGGAGGTACAGCATGCTCAGCTCCCCGTACACCGGGTCGCCCTGGTCCGCCAGCTTGTCCGCCCACGAGAACAGCGACGTCGCCGCGTAGAAGCAGCTGTGCGTCGACATGATGTTCAGCACCTGCGTCTGCGACTGCTCCATCCCGGGGAGGCTGAGGCACGCCTGGAGGATGGCCGTCAGGAGCGCCAGATCCTCGGGGCACACGCTGCTCTGGTCGTCGTGGATCAGGCTCACCAGCGTCCGGAATCCGCGCCCGACGACGCGGTCCAGCACGTTGAGCACCGTCTGCGTAACCGTGACCGACGATGCAGACGTGCCCGCAGAATCTTCCGAGCCACCCCCCTTGTCGGCATTCACCTGGTAGGCCCGCAGCACCACAAACAGCGACTTGAGCAGCTTGCGGTAGTACGAGATCGTCTCGGGGAGGAACGGGTCGTCGACGCTGGACACCGTCACCACCACAGTCGTCAGCAGGTGGTTGATGTCCTTGATCGGGAGCGAGGACGTCGCCAGCCGCTGGATCAGCACCAGCGCCAGGCTGGCCCGCGCATCCACCACCTTGAGGAAGATGCTCTCAGGTCCCGGCACGCCTTGGTTGGCGTTCAGGCACTGCTGTGCAACCTGCAGCATCTGCCTGGCAATCGTCTCATTGGTGGGGAGGCAGATGCTCAGCTCCAAGAGGAGGAACTCCCACGCGTGGAATAGTGCCTGTTTGGGGGGGTGGGGGGAGGGGGAACAGTTAGCTCTGAACTTTTCGATGTCATGGCCTCGACGTAGATACTCACGATCTGAGCATCGACCAGCGACAGGTTGGCGTTGGCCAGCTCCATCTCCATCCTGAATCCGTTCTGCTTGCGCCCCAACCACCCTGGGTCGAAGATCAGCATCTTGGTTGCTCGGCCCAGGTCGTAGTAGAATTCGGTGCCGAGCTCTCGCGGCTCCAGCATGGTCCGCTGGAAGTCGTCCAGCGAGCATCCGCCGTACTTGTTGGCAAAGTTCCTCGCAAAGTTGTTGTGAAGCGACTTGTTGTAGCCGGCAACCTCGACGCCGTCCCGGAGGTAGTAGTCCAGGTCCGACATCAGCTTCTTGGCCAGGGCATCGGCGTTGCCCAGGTGCCGCGAGTGGTACAGCTGCATGGCTATGATCTCGCCAATGTAGGCCGCTATGCGGGCCTCCACGGCAGCCTTGGTGGCATTTGACTTGACCGTGACGTGCGACGGCTTCAGCTCGCGCACGTAGGCCTGGAGACCTTCCAGGTAGGATGTGTCCTTCTGAAGCGTGAAGACGGTCCAGGGCCAGTAGTTCTGTGCTGAGGCGACGAAGTCTAGAACCACCATGGCGTGGGCCGGTTCCAGGTCCTGTAGCTGGGACAGCTTCCTCAAGGCGGCGGCAAAGACCGAGTTGGGAGCAGCCTCCTTCTTCTTGTTGTCCCTCTTCATCGCTTCTCGAGGTGTCTGTCCAGTCAGTAGGCAATTTGACATCCATTGCTGCCTGTTGCGGAGAATGGAGGAGAAGAACTTCCACGTCGCGCGCGTGTCGGTAGCGAGGCTGTACGGTTTTCCGAGCGTCGAGAGCAGCTGCAGGAACGACCTCGACGTCGGCGGGCCTAGGTAACCCAGCAGCGAGGGCGGCTCATTCTTTGACTTGCCGGCATTGATGACGAGAGCCTCCAGCAGCTTCATGGCAGGGACCCGGAAGTGCGAAGAGACGGCGCACAGTCTGGCCAGAAGGGTGGAGCTCTTGAACAGGTAGCTTTCAATCATGCTCGACGACCTGTCGAGCAAGTCTGACACACGCAGCAGGGTCGTGCAGAAGTCCAGTACCGATCTCACCTGTCCGTACAGAATCTCATATCTGGCGGCGTAGAGCGTCGAGTCGCTCGACATACAAGCTGCCGTGAAAGAGGCCAGGATGGGCTGGAACCTAAGCGTCCCGGAAGATGGCTCCAGGAAGCAGTCGACCACGTAGGACGCCGCAGGCTGGAGCGTAGAGGTCAAACCCGACGATGACTGGACATCGCCCATGCTGTAGCAGTCAGATACGATCTTGTCCAGGATCGGAACCACATTGTGCAGAAGCACGATCCGCTTCGTCTCCGACTCGAACCTCCACGTCGATGTGTTCTCGAATATGTCAATGGCCGACTGGGCAATTGAGTGGCTGACCTTGGACAGGACCCTTTCGGAGATGCCTAGCCAAGGAGCCACGTCTGCCCGCTGTCTCCCCGCCGCCTTGCTACCTAGACGGCGCTGGGCTGCCGACGACACGACGGTATCGATGAGATCTAGGAAGAGTTGGGCGGATGAGTTCAAGAACTCGTACCGGTTCGCGACCAGATCCAACGTTCCGGTAATCCTCGCCAGCTTGCCAGCTCTCGACTCGGAATTGAGCAGCTCACTGCGTGCCAGGTAAGACCAGACTCGGCCCGGGCACAGAGGCAGGATAGAGTGGAAGAACTGGGTGCAAGACGTCAGGACGCTCACGGCCGACTCATCCGTCGTGGCAAGGTCGTCCTGCAGGAAATGATCCATCGTGTCGCAAATGACACTGACGAGGTCCCTGCCGGCAGCCATGTACTTGCTCGCCTCCTGGATGATGTCGCTGCCCAGGTGAATTATGGAGGAAGCATCCGGGTTGGCCTGAGCAGTCTTCAGACAGTCCACACGAATCAGGGTAGCAAAGAGGAGGATGACCTCGGCCGTCACGTCGGGTGTAAAGTCTCCGAACAGGCAGGCATATGTGTCAGGGGCAAGGTTGATCTCGAGTCGTCGTCCGAGCAGCGACAACGTCGAATGTGTGAATTCGAGCTGCGAGAACTGGCCGTCCTGGATGAGGTAGCGTCCGAAGGTCCCCGCCGGTATACGCAAGTCGTCGTGGTCGACATGGCGCCGTCCACGAGACGAGGTGAGGGCAACTAGCTGCAGCTCGTCAAGGAGATGGTAGTAATTGATATTTTCCTCTTCAGTCACATCCTCGGTCCTGGTAGATAGGGGAAGATTGAAGGTCAGGGTCGGGGTCTGCCTCAGAAGCGCGAGGATCTGGTCGGCGCTGTCGCCTTCCAGGCTCAACGTGCTAGACAGAATACGACACATGGCAATGAAGGGCAGAAACTCTTCAGGGTAACGGTCGAGGGCTGTGCGTAGGAAGCTCTGCTGCAGCCAGTCATCCTGCACCATGGATGCAATCACGTCGTGCGTCGCCTCCAAGCCACGGCCCTTCTCGATATCCCAGTATTCCCGGTCAGTCGAGAGAAGGGTGAGCAGCGTTCCCACAGTGGCTTCCTGGTAGCCAACCAGGGGGTCCGCAGTACGGATGACCTCCACCAGCCAGGCGCGCACACGAGAGCTCAGCAGCGGCGTCATGCTTCCCTCGGGGGTCGACCCCATGGCTGAAGCCATGGCAGACATTACGTTGTAGACGTACCCGCCATCGGAAACAGACCTAGCCATCCTCTCGGCGGTCTGGAAGTCTCGAGAGGTCGAGGTGGCCTCGAGGAAATTGTCGAACCTGGACGATTCGATCGAGTAGATGCTACCAGCCGAATTGCGTCGTCCAGTCGAGGGTCGGATCACGGCTCCTGACTCAAAACGCTCCCTGGAGCTCTGTAGCAAAAGGTTGTCGCGTTTCTCCGAGCGGGAGTGGTATGACCGGTTCATCTCTCCCAGAATGACCGACCAGGTGAAGCAAACGGGGGTGGCAGTCTCGATGTTGGCCTCGGAGGCGCCGATTATAGTAGAATGGACCTGTTCCAGAACATCAGGCGCGAGCAAGTATGAATCGTGGGAGTTGTCGGCCAGAGCTGGGTCTTCCTCGCGGTCCTGGAAGTACTTCATACACAAGTTTGGCTTGAGGAGGGCGACGGACACGACAGCGGCCAGGGTCTTGGCCGGAACGCATAGTTCAGCGATACTCTCATGAATCTGAGCCATGTTAGCAGGGCAAAAAAAAAAAAAAAACATTTCAAAGTTCCGGGCGAGGAATGGGGTTGGGAAGGGACGAACCGGCTGGAGCTGAGAAAGAAAAGCGTGTCGGTCCATGATGGAGAACCACGAACCGATGGCAGATGCGGGAGCAAACTCGTTCTGAAGGTTGTCAGCAAGCTGAAGAACAACAGACATGGCGTGGATGGACTCGGTAAGCTGGGTTCTGAAATAGGACAGCTCCAGGTCCTCCAGGAGTATCAAGGCATCGTCTGTCAGTTCACTCAGGCCGCGGCCCAGACCGTCCATGCGTTCGCCCACGACGCTCATGTATGCAGGAAGCAGGACTTCAATTTCATCCTTGGCTTGCTCAGGCATGGTCAGGCGGTACAGCTGGTTCAAATTGTGCTCGACCGGTGCCGTTATAGGGAGGCGGTTATAGAGCTTGATCGAGTGCGCGTAATCGGCCGACATGGCAAAATAACGGCGTTCTTCAAGGTAGGTGTTGAACAGGCGTCGCCTTCTCGTCTCGGGCTTCTCGAATTCAGTCCAGATCTCGTCGGCATCGGCGGCGGCGGCGGCCCCCAGCTCGGAAAGAAAGGAGCTCCCTTGCCCGTTGCTCAGGCCAGCGGCCTCTTGCAGGTTAGCGGCATCTTGAGAAGACAGCGGTCCGGTAAGGTGTCGCGAAGGGCGAGACTGAATATCAACAACGACGATACGAAGGGCAGCAACGAGGTTGAGGCGGGCCGCCTTGCCCAACCACTTGGCGTCCTCCCTGACAAGGTTGATATCGACGCCGTCGGTGGAGGCTAAGGTAGCATTGATCGGAGCGGTCTTTGTTTCAAAATCTTTCTGTGTGGCATCCGAGGGCGATGCAAAGACACTGGACGGCTTCTTGAGCAGACCGTGGACATACTCGTCATCGAAAAAGTCGATTATGGCGGAGCTGACCTGGCGTTCACCAGAGAAGTCGGAGAGAGCTGTGGCAACATGTTTCCAAGAACTGAGAGGCAGTTAGCAAAGCAAAGAGCAAGACGGAGGATTATGTGAAGACACAATGCTGGGTGTGGTGCGGCCAAGGTCCCAAGGCACCGATATCAGCATCAGCATCAACAGAAGCGTCAGGCTCAACGTACAGAAGCACACGGTCTCCGGAGAGACAGTCCTCTAGGGACGGGAAATAGATGCGGTCTGACAGGGGCGGCATTGCCACAGATGTCAGTGTCGAGGCAGAAGCCCGCGATGCATCCCTCGAATATGAGAATTGGCGATGGCCGGGAGGAGGGAGGAGAAGAATGGAAAAGCGAAGCTGTTTGTTTGACCTTGGACGATGCGCCCTGCTTTTGGTGGTCGCGAATCAAGCAAAAGCAGGTAGGTACTCTTGGTTGCGCCTGCCCAAACAAAGCACGAGTAACATTACAACTGCTACTGAAAGCTCACTGTTTAGCCGATTGACAGCGCTAAGGTACTTTTTTTTTTCTTCCTACAGTGGTGTGCATATATAATACATGTAGGGGTTGGTGCCTGGATTGGTCCGAGATTTAGCCGTGATGCTCCCCTTACCCTGTGCGACTCGTACAGTTCTGGAGCTTAAAATCACCCCCCATTACAGGCTGCAATAAGTAATATATCCTTTCAGGGAAAGGAAAGGAAGGTACATACTACTTGGAAATGCGGCGGGGCACCTTCCGTCTCAATGTGCCAATATTGGCCTTACCGAATTGGAGGTTGAATCACAGTCATACAACTCAATTGTTCAACCCGCACAATCAATACAAACTCCTTCTTCGCGAGCTGGCCGACGTAAACTACATCTTGAGTCAACTCAGAGGCCAAAAGGTCAGGTAATCTGCCGGGTTCGATATCGGTCCATCCCTCATTGTCTTATTCCCTTTTCTCCTGTCCTTTCAAACTTCTGTTAAGAATTTTTGGCTTCGTTGCACACCCCCCCACCAGCCAGACGTACGTCCAGTGTATTTAGAGAATTCGGGACCGCGGGGTTCATTTTTCTCACATCCCACCAGCGTCGGATTCCGGATTCTCGGCCTTGCACTCACCTCGGTGCACCGCCTTTCTCAGAAGATGGCCTCTTTCGAACTTGCCGATCACTCCCCTCATCAGGCCGATCCGTCTCCTCCTGTGTCGAGCGCCTCGAACCTCATCTTCATCGACAACTATGACTCCTTTACCTGGAACATCTACCAGTACCTCGTTCTTGAGGGAGCTACAGTCCACGTCTACCGCAATGACAAGATCACTCTAGACGAGCTCATCACCAAGAACCCTACCCAGCTCGTCATCAGCCCCGGTCCCGGCCACCCGGCCACCGACTCGGGCATCAGCCGTGAGGCTATCAAGCACTTTGCCGGCAAGATCCCCATCCTCGGTGTCTGCATGGGACTGTAAGCACACATGCTCCTATTGATGAAACTTGATGTCTTTCAGGCTTGTGGCAAATACTCACTCATCTTATACAGACAGTGCATGATTGATGCCTACGGCGGTGAGGTCAGCTCTGCTGGAGAGTGGCTGCACGGCAAGACATCGCCCTTGACCCACGATGCCAAGGGCGTCTTTACTGGCCTGAAGCAGGGCCTTCCCGTCACTCGCTATCACTCCCTTGCCGGCACCCCAGTGTCCCTCCCCGAGTGTCTCGAGACCACGGCCTGGGTCGACAAACCTGATGGGTCGCCTGGTGTCATCCAGGGCGTCCGTCACAGGACGTTTACCATGGAGGGCGTTCAGTTTCACCCCGAGAGTATCCTCACCGAGGACGGTCGCATCATGATCAAGAACTTTGTCCACCTTCAGGGGGGCACTTGGGAGGAGAACGAAAAGCTCAAGAAGGCGAGCGCCGGTCGAGCTACCGGCACTGCACCTACCAAGAGCAAGAGCAACAACATTCTTCAGCAGATCTACGCCAACCGTAAGGCTGCTGTCGCCGCTCAGAAGATGATTCCCTCTCAGCGCATGGAGGATCTCCAGGCTGCCTACAACCTCAACGCGGCCCCCCCTCTGGTACCCTTCCTGGATCGTCTTCGCCAGACTCCATTTGATGTTTCCCTCATGTCTGAGATCAAGCGTGGGTCGCCGTCCAAGGGGATCTTCGCTCTCGACATCAGCGCCCCTGTGCAGGCTCGCAAGTATGCCCTCGCGGGTGCCAGTGTCATCTCCGTGCTCACCGAACCGGAATGGTTCAAGGGAAGCATCGACGACCTCCGCGCTGTCCGCCAGGTCTTGAACGGCATGCCCAACAGGCCCGCCATTCTCAGGAAGGAGTTCATCTTCGACGAGTATCAGATACTCGAGGGCAGGCTGGCCGGTGCCGACACCGTCCTCCTCATCGTCAAGATGCTCGAGCCGGAGCTGCTCGAGCGCCTGTACAGGTACTCGCTCTCTCTCGGTATGGAACCCCTGGTGGAGGTGCAGAACGCCGAGGAGATGACTGCCGCCGTCAAGCTCGGATCAAGGGTGATTGGCGTCAACAACCGAAACCTTGAGAGCTTCGAGGTCGATATCAAGACGACGAGCCGCCTTCGCAGCATGGTCCCGGAAAGCACTGTCATCTGTGCTCTGAGCGGTATCAACACCTATCAGGACGTGCTGGAGAACAAGAAGGGCGGTATCGACGCCGTTCTTGTAGGCGAGGCCATCATGAGGGCCCCGGATGTGACCCAGTTCATCAGCCAGCTCTGCTCCGGAACGGATGCCCCGACGCCCAACGACGACCCCACACCTCTTCGTGTCAAGATCTGCGGCACCCGCACTGCCGAGGCTGCCACGCGTGCAGTCGAGTCCGGAGCGGACTTTGTTGGAATCATCCTCGTCCCCGGGGCCAAGAGGTACGTCTCGGACGAGACAGCCCTGGCCATCTCCAAGGCTGTGCACTCGCACTCGGGTTCGCTGCCGTTCAAGGGTGACGTCCCGGTATCCGCATCTGGCGCCACCGACTTCTACACGGCAGCCGGCACTCGGATAGCCAGCCCGCGCCCGCGCCTCGTGGGAGTCTTCCAGAACCAGCCGCTGCAGGAGGTGCTGGAAAAGCAGAAACTCTACAATCTCGATCTGGTCCAGCTCCACGGAAACGAGCCGATCGAGTGGGCCAACCTAATCCCCGTCCCCGTCATCCGCTCCTTCAAGCCGGGCAATGTCGGCATCGGCCTCCGGGGCTACCACATCATCCCCCTGCTTGACTCCGGCGCCGGCTCGGGCAAGCTGCTGGACATGTCCAAGGTCAAGGAGCTCCTCGGCGCCGACCCGGAGCTGAGGGTGTTCCTTGCCGGCGGGCTGGACCCGGTCAATGTAGCACAGGCTGTCAAGTCATTGGGCGAGCTGGGTAAGCGCGTGGTTGGCGTGGATGTGAGCAGTGGCGTCGAGGAGGATGGTAAGCAGAGTTTGGATAAGATCTCTGCTTTCATCAAGGAGGCCAAGAACGTGCGGTAGACATGTGACAGGAAATGATATAGTAAAAGAAGAAGAAAAAAAAGGATAGACCGTCTCGAATTTTCTGCGCTGTTCCTGACGCACGAGTGTCCACGACGACCAAGTAGTACCAGCAGCCGATCACCCATACGGTCAGGCGCACTCCGAAGCAGTCGGTGACAAGTGTACGCCCGTGAGGAGTGTCTGACAGAGTGCCAGTCCGTGCCAGCCGGATATCATCTCCCAAGTTGAAGAGATCCGGCCAGACACGGATAGATACGGGAACACCCAGAAATGTTGGGCCAGCAATCTTCCATCGGTGCCGGGATACACGAGGCCTCATGCCTCTCCTTGTTGAAATACACGTCTCTATGCTTTCATTCCTATTGAACAGTTGGAGGCTATTTCTGATATGTCTGAAGTAGTCATCTTTCATCTCTTGTCTTTTTCTTGTGTCAGAAGTCCGTCCTTTGAGGGGGAGGGGGGAAGAGAGAGAGAGAGGGAGAGGGAGGGAGAGAAAGAAGAAGAAGGAGGAGGAGGAGGAAAAGAAGAAGCAAGAAAGAAAAGAGAAGAAGAGAGGAAAGAAGGAAGGAAGGAAGGAAGGAAGGAAATCAAAACCTCAACTTGGGCAGGACAAACACCAACAGCACGAGAGCAACCATGAGCCCGTAGACCCACGCATAGAGTATGACCCTCCCCCACCACCCCTTCCCCTCCGTCATGCGCACCAGGGCCCCCATGCGACCTCTGGCGGCCTCCATCCCCCTCCCCGTGCGCTCCATGCCGTCCGTGGCCCGTCCCAGAACGTCCTTCTCGGCCTCCAGGCTGGCGGCCATGTTCATCTGCTGGCGCTTCATGGCCTGCGCGAGCTGAAAGACCTTGGAGGCCAGGTCCTCCCTCTCGGACGACTGCTTGTCCAGTATAGCTTCGGCCGTGGCTGTCGTCGCCGACGTTGTAGATGGTGCTGCTGCTGCTGCTGCTGCCGCGGTGCCTCCTTGTTCGGCTCTGCGTCTGCTGGCAAAGAGGGCGGCTCGGGCTTCGGCGTAGGACGGCGCTGGCGCGCGTGATCGGAGTATTTGGTCGGTCTGGGTGGGTTGCTGAGGTTCGGCTTCACGAGGTTTACCTGCTTCTGATTCTGCTGCTGCTTCCGCTGCTACAGCCGCTGTTGATGCTGGTGCTGCTGTTGATGCTGGTGTTGCTGTTGGTGCAGCTATGCTTGTGCTTATGCTTGTAGGGATGGGTTTGCCGCCCTCTTTGGGTATGATGCTGGCTAGAACATTGTCTACCTGTTCATCGTCGTCGTCGTCATCGTCGTCGTCGTCGTCATCGTCAACAGCCATCTGCGGAGTATTCGGTCAGCGGCTTGCGCGCGTGTGCCAGAAAGAGAACGAGACAAGATCTCGGAGGGAATTTCCTACCTTGCGAAGATCCAGAACATGGTCCGTCAACAGGTCAAGCAACTCCCTCTTCCTCCTCAAATCATTCTGCACCTCCAGTCTCCGTCCGGGAGTCAGGATACCAGCGGCATCTTGCTCTAGTTTGGACAGCGAGGTAGTCGCATACTCGAGGTTCTTTTACGACGATCGGTTAGTTTGACTTTTTCTTCCTTCTTTCCTTTTGGATGGAACGAGATATCCAAGAAATGTATCAAAAAAAATTGAAAAAAAAAATATTGAAGAAGAGGGGGGGGGGGGGGGGGGACGTACCGCCTCCAACTTTGCGCGCTCATATTCGCTCCGTCGTAGTCGTTGCTCGCGTTCGGGATCAGCGTGGAGGACAGTCTGCTGGAGTCGCAACAGGAGCTGGCCTAGCTCGGAGGAGGAGCGGTCCAGTGAGCTTGCTCTCGGTGAGTGGACTGGACTGGAGCTCTGGCTGCGTATTCGGTTCATTTCTACGGGAGGGTTCGTATGGCTGCGCGTGCATGTGTACGTGTGTACGTGTGTCCTGAGGGTGCCGTGTGTGGGTTCGTGGCCGTCGTCCGTGTTCCGTGTTGGGGTTGATCAGGACATCTGGCCAGCAAGGACAGCAGTGACGTGGGTGCCGAGATTGTACATAGCAATATTATGGTGGTGGTTGGAGGTGGAGTTGGTGGGAGGTGGTGGGAGGTGGCGGTACTTGATGAGCCCCTCCCCAACGCAACACGCAACACGGCAGGTTAGCCAAAGCAGTAAGTATCGCCAGGATCCAGATTCAAGTTCGGAGACAGAGAGTATGGAGAATGACCGTCCGTGAGATGGCTGTAGATGATTCGCTCCTTCATCGATGACCGGTAAAGGTAGATGGATGTCATTGTCTCAAGAGTTACGATGCATGTACTCTGACACCATGTGATGATCATGACATGTAATATTGAACCATGTAGTAAGTAGTAATACGTAGTAGCATCATATACAGCTTCAAGAAGAGTCTAGGTGAGATGCACCAACATGACGGGGGAAAAAAAAACAATGATCAAGTCTCGGTCATTAACGTATTATTTTCCATTCAATCATACATGTCGTAATATTTACCGATAGTCGATAGGTAGTACCCAGCCAGGCGTCGACAGAGCAGGGGGGGGGGGGGAAATGAGGTACCGGGTATCTTGAGTCTCTCAGAGGCGTGTGCTCTCCAACATCCGACGACAGTTTGCATCATGGGATAGAAGAGGACGTCGACAGGAGCGATGGACGCGATAGCAGCCAGCCTACCGCACATGACGTCGTGCTTCCAGCCTAATCGCCCCTCTCACCCTCCTCCTTCTCCAGGTTACTCCGCAGCCTCTCCTCCTGCTTCCTCCAGTGACTACCCTCTTCGTAGTCGGAGCTGATCTTGAGGGCCCTCCTCAGCCTCTCGCTCTCCTTGATCTTGGCATCGGCCATCTCGTGAACCTGGTGATCCTTGAACTGCTTCTTGGGTCCACTGGCGGCACGTTTTCCCTTTTCCATGTCGGCCAGCAGCTTTGACCTTAGCTCATCACAACGGCGGTCAATCTCACCTTCTTCGACTCTTTCCCCCCCCCCCCCCAAAGGTTAGTAAGAACGGAGGTTGGAAAAAAAAGGGAAACAGTAGGAGGAGAAGAGGGGAGTGGGATAGAAGGACATACTCTTCCTCTTCTAGCTCGTCGCGTAGCTCGAGGACCTTGACCTCGACTTCACGCTTCCGGTCGTGCTCGAGAATCCCCTTATCCGGTTGGCGCTGCTTGTGTCGGATGGTGTCCGGGTCCTTGGTGTATGGGGCGGCGTAGTTGCGAGGCTTCATGTGGGCGAGGTTGCGCTGGACGTAGCCCGAGGTGCCGCTGCCACGGGGCGTGGACAGGCCGACATTATCAGACATGGCTGTGTGAGTGCGTGACCAGGGTCCGGCTGTGCGTGGGAGGATATATCGGTGGATGTGATCGCGTGGTACGTGAGAGAGGAAGGAGACCAGTGACGAGGTTGCCACAGAGATACAGATTGATGATGATGATGGTGATGATGGGAATGCCTTCGATCAACTTTGAGAACGGGTGATAGAATATACAGAGGTACAAGGATATAGAAACAGGAAGGCGGTGAGAGCCACCTGTGGGATTGGTGTCGGCGGCAGAATTCTGCTGCGATGGCGGGGTGAAGGAGCGCTGAGTCGATGGGATGACTCAAGGCCATCAGTTCACACTCCATCTTTATCCAGGGAATAAATGATTCCTCTTGTTTCCCATCAAGACGACAGATCGTTTGCAATATATACTGTTTTTTTTCTTCTTCCTTCCCCCCCATTTTTAATATCTCAATACCTGTATAGACGTCGTGGGGCTCCCTAACTGTTCTACGTCAAGACAAGACATCAGAACGAAAAGAGAAGGAGAAGAGAAGGAGAGAGAGAAGGCATCACACAAAATGCCCCACCTCCCAACGCAAGATGGTGCAGGCGGCGACGAGAACCAGGAGCTCATCTTCCCCCCCGTGACGAGGGATCACATCCTAAACTGCTCATACGACGCTTGGTTTCCGCGGTACAAGAGCTCGTGTCTCAAGTCGCGCATCATCCCCCTATCACCGGCCTTTGTGTCGTACCTCCACGAGGACGGCATCATCCTGGCCGATGATGAGGACGACGTGCTTGCCGAGTCCGAGGAGGAATGGCACACCGCAGCAGCCTCCCACCCGCGGAGAGTCGAGGAGGTGGCATCCGACGACGGGAGCGAACCGGGCGAGGACGACGACGACGACGACGAGCCCGACAGGAGGCCACCCAACGAGCGGTTCCCCGAGATCCACCGCCTCATCAAGGAGAAGATTGCCGAGCTGGGCGGCTCCGTGGCGCCCAAGCTCAACTGGTCGTCGCCCAAGGACGCCAAATGGATATCCCCTCACCAGAACACGCTCAAGTGCACGACGCCCAACGACGTCTACCTGCTGCTCAAGTCGTCCTCGTTCGTGTCGCACGACCTGGACCACGCCTTTGACGACTGCACGGCGGCGCCGGCGTCGCGGCCCCCGAGGCCGGTCCTCGTGCTCCGGCCCTTCTTCTCGCCGCACGTGGCCCTCGAGTTCCGCTGCTTTGTCAAACAGCGCGCCCTCGTGGGCATCACGCAGCGCGACCTGAACCACTACGACTTCCTGGCCGGGCTGCGGCCCAGCATCGTCCGCAGGATCAGAGCCTTCTTCCGCAGGAGCCTGCGCCTCACATTTCCCGACCCGTGCTTCACCTTTGACGTGTACATTCCCGAGAACTCCCTGTCCGACGACGGGCTCGGCAGGGTCAGGCTCATGGACATCAACCCCTGGGCCCCGCGCACGGACAGCCTCCTGTTCAGCTGGCGGGAGCTGCTGGATGCCGAGGTGGCTCGTCCGCTGTACGGGTCGGCCGCCACCAGCGGTGACGGTGGGGCGGAAGCCGACGAAGGCTCGGGCGATACGAGTGCCGAGGAGACGGACGAGAGCGACGAGGCTCTGCAGGCGCGCGGGCCCGAGCTGAGAATCATCGAGAAGGGCGACCCTGCTGCCTACAACTTCAGCTCACCACAGTACTCGGCCCACAAGCTGCCGCGGGAGGTTGTGGATGCCAGCGCCGCCGGAGGCACGGGACTGAGGGAATTTGCTCGGCAGTGGAAGGAACTGACCGAGGGGAGGGCGGACGGCATGTGGGAGAAGGCCAATGCTGCTGGACCTGGTACGAGCAATTGAAGAGGGGGGGTGGCTTGGGTAGCTGAAGATGGGAGGGGTCGAGTAGTGGTGTGGTAGTAGCTGCTGCTGCTGCTGCTGTTGTTGTTGTTGTTGTTGTTGTTGTTGTTGTTGTTGTTGTTGTTGAGGATTCATCTAGCTGTAAAGGATCTAGAGAATCCAGTAATACAAAGACAATACAATACACACTGAAGGAGAAGAAGACGAAACGAAACGAAACGGAACGGAGAAAGAAAGAAAGAGAGGGAAAACTTTCACCCCGCCGCCTCCTTCGACCATTCACTGCAAACAACGACGTTGGACGTGAGACGAAAGTGAACCAAAGGGAACCCCCATCATGCGTGAAGAAGGAAAAAAAAGGGGGGGGGGGGGGGGAGAAAAAAACCACGGGCGAGGGCTGTGCACATTGTAAACCCCGAGAATAATAGGAATTCAGGCCCCAGGCAGAAAGAAGNAACAACGACGTTGGACGTGAGACGAAAGTGAACCAAAGGGAACCCCCATCATGCGTGAAGAAGGAAAAAAAAGGGGGGGGGGGGGGGGGGGGAGAAAAAAACCACGGGCGAGGGCTGTGCACATTGTAAACCCCGAGAATAATAGGAATTCAGGCCCCAGGCAGAAAGAAGAGAGAAGAAGGGAAGAGAATATGTATATATATATACATATATGCATATATAATTCTACAAAAGTTTCCACGTCACTTTGGCATTCTCGGAGAAGAGTGAGATCAAAGTCAAACATGATTCCCGAGATGGATACCGAGTAGATGCTTCTCATGATGACGGCGTGGTGATGGCAGGATAGATGCAAGAACACGTACACATACACATACACATACACACAAACACACGCATATATATATATATATATGTGTGTGTGTGTGTGTGTGTGTGTATCCAGCAAGAATAAATGGAATAGACATGTATAATGTATATATCAATACATTATCCTCATGGTATATCCCAAGTTTCCCAAGTGTCTCTCTTCAACCTCTACCAGGTGCAAAAAAAAAAAAAAAAAAAAAAAAAAAACATATTCCTTCCCTCTCGGATGAAACATCTACACCAGGTCGCGTAAGTCTTTTTTTATTTTTCTTTCTTCTTTCATTTTACTGTTTTTATTTCTTTTACATCTCCCGTCTCCTCTCTCTTTTCCTCTTCATGAGAATCACGCTTCCGCACAGGTTCATCCCTGACCTCTTCCTCCTCCACCACACCTTTCCCTTATTCCTTCCTCCTCCTTCTCCTCCTCCTCCTCCTCCTCCTCCTATTGAAACTTTCTTTCTCTCATAATCCACCTCATCACTCCATATAACATCATCATCATCATCATTAACCTCTGGAAAGAAAAGAAAAAGCGGGGAGAAAAACCCCCCATAGTATAATATAGCTCTTTGCTTTACCATACCAGAGGTTTCTCCCCATCACCTCAAGGAAAAGAACCATCATCATGCCCCCAGACGGTTCAGGCGGGCAAGCTAGCAAGACGGGAACCAGCTCTGATCCCCATTCCGATACGCACAGCTCCATGCCGGACGAGCTCCGTTTCTTCAACTGGGAGCACAACCATCATCCCGAGCAGCAGCAGCAGCAGCAGCAGCAGCACAATGACAGCAGCAGAGACAACAGCTGTACCCAGCACGGTGAGCTGTTGATGATGGTGGACGAGCGTGGCAATATGAGGAGCATCGGCGGCAGCTATGACAGCATTCCCGAGACCAACACCGCCACCTCCAAGAGCAACAGCGACAGCAACAGCGACGGTCCCTATCGACTCAGCAGCATCCCAGGACTGTACAGACCCTCCCAGAGGCTAACCGTAGCGCCGGGCTTCTCATCCCCGGCTCCCTATGCCCCCATGGCCAGCAGCGGCGGCGACTTGATGTCCAGCCTGAACTCCCCATTCGATCCACCTCAGAGGCTGGAGCAGCAAGTGTCGGACAGCAGCAGCTCCGACTCGAGCAACGGCATCATCCCCGCCGCCGCCGCCTCCTCTGCTCCCCTCACACCCTCCTCACTCGTCCTGGGCGGCGGAGAGATGCTCATCCCGCTGTCAGGCACCCTCCCCTTTCCTCCTCCTCCTCCTCCTCCTCCTGCTACTGCTGCTGCTGCTGCTGCTGCTGCTGCCCCTACCATCGAGACGGCAGCAGACTCGGCGTCTGTGACGAGTTATTAGGAGACCCTCAGGGCGCGAGATCAGCAGCAGCAAGCGGTGCAGAATCAGCAGCAGCGGGACTGGGATGACAACCAGCCTCCCAGTGCCTATGGCCCCCGGAATCAGAGCCAGGATGTCGCGGATCGACCGGAGAATGTTCAGAACCAGAACCAGAGCCAGAAACGGCTTCACAGCAGCCGGAGCCGAACCCGTAATCGCAAGCCGCAGCAGCAGCAGCAGCAGCAGCAGAGGCAGAGCGATGCCGAGCACGATCACAACGACCGCAGCCACCAAAGTCGCCGCCAACGGTCCGCCTCGGCACCGCCGCCAAGGACGGCCGGTGACGTAGCCAGGGAGCTGTACGGGGACGACGTCAACATGTCGTCTCCGGCGTGCAGACTCATGGCGGAGATGAAGGCGGTCCGCATCCCCAAGCAGCGCCGAACGTGGCAGGGGGTCAACACTAGGCGCCGGAGCAACGTCGAGGCCCTGCTGTGCCAGATAACCGGGGAGGAGTCGGAGAGGCCGTGCAAGAGCTGCGCAAAGGGTCACGGTCCGTGGACGAGATGCATCCTCGTGCCTGGTTTCATGTGTGGTAGCTGCGCCAACTGCTGGTTCAATGCTAGTGGGGTTAGGTGTACATATCATGGTACGCTTTCTCTCTATCTCTCCGTCTTCCCTTCTTCTTCTTCTTTTTCTGCCTCCTCCTCCTGCTCTTCTTCCTCCTCTCTCTTCTCCCTTCTTTCTTCTTTCCTTCTCCCTGACATCTCTCCTTGTCTAACACGTCACAAGATACAAACACCACCTCCCGAAACAATGGGACCAACCGCCGTCAGGTCAATTCTCTGCCTCCCCCCCTCCCCCGTTTGCGCAGCAGCATAGGAGGAGCATATAACCCTGAGAGTACACCCGCCTTCTTCTCAGCAGCGGGAGGTCAACCGCAACCGGTCCCGAGACCGTCGGAAATCCTATCCCGTCTCCAGTGGGTCCTCCAGGCCGACCCGGCCATGAGCGCGATCGGTCAGACGCTGGGCTGCTGCTCCTCCCTCGACATGCGCGGTCGGTACCTCGTCAGGATGCACGCCGCCGCCGAGGAGCTCGGCCTCTGCATCGCCGAGTATGAGGAGTACATCGGTACTCCGCAGGGTGCTCTCGAGGAGGAGAGAGCCAGGATGGAGCAGCAGCAACGGCAGCATTCTGCTGCCGTTAATACTGACCAGGAGACGCAGCCGTACCAGGATACCCTGATGCCCGTTTCCGAAACCGGTTCCGACAACGAGGATGATGCAGATGGGAGTCCCGAGTAGGGGTATTCTCTCTATATTTTTGAAGAAAAAGAAGAAGAAGAAGAAGAATGAAAATTCAAGAAGAGAAAATAGAGAGAGGAGAGAAAAAAAATGAAGAAGAGGAAGAAGAAGAAGAAGAAGACAGATATCTGAACATGGGACAAGACTCTTGGAGACGGCAAGATTCGCTAGACGTGTGAGCTGTCGTAATATGAATTTCTGTCCTTTCTCTTGTTGCTGTTCTTCTTTCCTCTTTTCTTTGCATGCAATTCCATCTGGCTCATCTAGCTCATCTGATTAATAGAGGGGAGGGGGGGGGGGGGGAGTTCATCAGCATCCCAACGTCATTGATGCACCCATATCATCTGTTTCCTCAATACGAATAATGCACACAACATTGGGCTTACGATAGGATACAGACTTGCTTACAATCAATACAATACGCACCTATTACCTGTTACCAAACATCTTCCTTCTCTTGTTGACAAAGATACTCCAACTCTACTAAACTGTCGCCTTGGATACAATCTGACCGCGTAGCCTATAAAAAAAAAACAAATCTGACAGAATAGACGTTAGAGACTACTAATGTATAGAGACATGGAAAAAATATAAAAAGGAAAGAAAAAAGAAAGAAAAGAAGAGAAGAGAAAAACGAAGAAGAAGAAAAAGACCTTCGTCTTCGAGGCAGGACGATAGAGCTATAACAGACAAGACTTGAAAGAAAAAGAAAAAAAAGACCGAGATAGAGAGAGAGAGAAACATGCTCGTCAATCACGAGTTAGAAAATGTATAAGAGAAAAAAAAAAGGATCGAGATCTTCGCCAGATGCCACGTGAAACAAGCCAACAAGAAAAAAATTATAATAAAAACCAATCTTACTTTCTTTTCCACCTTTTCCCTTCAACTGCTGCTGTTTCTCTTCTCATCCCATTTTCACCCTGCTGTTATTGCACAACACATTAAAAAGAAACAAGCAAGTGGCCAAAAAAAAGTTCATATATCAAATCAGTTGGACAGGAAACTATTCCGCATACACAAAAACACAAAATACAGCAAAAAAAAAAAAAACCACATTCCGTCCCGTTTCGGAGAGAAGAGAAAAAAAGAGACAGAGAGATAAAATGACACAAGGAGAACTGAAAGAGAAAGAAGAAGGATTACAAGGTCAACCTTTCCTTTATGTGTGCGTACAGAGCCGACACACGCGCCGTGCGCTCATTATACACAAAACTCTCGCCGTTCTCTCTCTTTTTTTCCTTCTTTGTCAGAATGAGGGACTCAGAATAAGAAAGAACATAAAGAAAGTAAAACGAAAAACTCCTGCCCATTCCAGCAATTCTCCCCTGTATATGGACAGTAAAGATAAACCGCTCCTGTTAGATAAAACAGCTAGCGGGAGACCCTCCAAATCCCTCAAACAAGGGGAACGCCGGCGCTGAGAAGGAGATGGACGGGTATCGTGGGAGCTCTGTTGAGGGGGGGGGGGGGGGGGGGGGCAGCCGACTCGTCTCCTCCCACTCGTTGCCCCATGCAAGGAGTTGCCAGGTTAGGGAGCAACGGGGAGAAGAGGTAAGAAGAATAAAACATCAAGAGCCGATTCTTCTCCTTTTCATAGAAAAAGGAGAAAAGAAGCTCCTCTCGACTCATGCGGCTTGTTTCGTGACGTATTATATAAAAAAAAGGAACTAGAAAATTTTAATCAAAAGGGGGGGGAGGGTATTTCGAGTTATGGTTGCCGAAGAGGATATCGTTTAGATGAGACCGCACAAACGAAGGTTCTCCTGGATGATGATGTCTATGAGCGGGAACACGTTAGTATTCGTCTCGATGGAATTATCCAGAGTAGTAAGGTGCATATATAAAATGCATATATCGCGGAATAGAATAGGTACGAGAATGCGATCAACATACCATTGACAGCAGCCATGACGAAGCGGATTTGCGTCGTATCCGTGGCACACGTAAAGTGAGTGTAAATCTGCTTCGTCTCGTGCTGGTTCAGACTGACGAAACGGTTGAGAATGTAGTCGCAGGCAGCGGCGTAGTCGTCACCGCCCTCGTAGTCGGGGAAGTAGTTCTTCATGGGGCTGATGGGCAGCTTCTCCTTGAAACGGTCAATCTTGTTGAGGAAGAGGATGATGGACGTCTTGATGAACCATCGCGAGTTGCAGATGGAGTCGAAGAGGGTCAGGGCCTCCTGCATACGGTTGACCGTCTCGTCCTCGAACAGGAGCTGATCGTACTCGGAGATGGCGACGAGGAAGAGAATGGTTGTGACGTTCTCGAAGCAGTGAATCCACTTCTTACGCTCGGAACGCTGGCCACCGACGTCGAACATGCGATAGGTGAGATCGCCGATGATGAAGGTGGTTTCTGTGATACCCGTCGTCTTGACACGCGATCGAAGAACGTCCTGGTCGTTGGGCATGTAGTCGGGGGAAGCGATGCGTGAGATGTTGTCGAAGTAGCTGAACATTGTCAGTGCCGGCGAACGTGGGAGAAGGACAGTCAGGCGACAGGTTGCAAGGGCAGCAGAAAAGAAGCCAAGCAGGGGAATGAATGGCAGGGGAATGGATGGGAGGGGGACAAGACTCACTATCGAGCCGAGTCGTTGAGCTGGTACTCGCGCGACCTCTTGAAACACGACTGCACACCGTGGTCCTTCCAGAGGGCCTCGATGGCGCTGCCAACCTCCGGAGGCAGAACGTCACCCTCGATCTGAGCGGGCTGCATGAAGATGGTCTGGACGTGGTACTCCATGCGCTGGTCCTCGAGAGGTAGCTCGAGCGACTCCATGGCCTCGAGGATGACGCGCATCGACTGAACCGTGTTGCTGAAGATGATTTCCTTGAAGGATTCGCGCTCGTCGCGAGAGTAGCCACCCTCGTGGATGAGCTTCATCTGCTTGAGGATGGTGGACTTGCCGGATTCACCAGCACCTAGATCGTGTCGGTGGCGTCAGTCTCTTCTCGCGTATCCACGGGAGGACGGGAATCAAGGAGAGCATTCGGTATAGCGTACCCAGCAGCAGCATCTTGATCTCGTTGCGCTGCATCAACTTGTCCCTCTTGAGCTGGTTCTCAATCTCCTCGTTGCGGGCCTTGCCCTCCTTCTCTTCTGTGCTCATTCCGCAACCCATCTTGTCTGTATGTCTGCGACTCTCGTCGGCTTGCGTCGTGCGTAGGATAAACGAAGGGGATCTGTTCGGCTGCTAAGGGAGGCTTGTATTCGGCCCCCTTTGTTCCCTGCACAGTCACCAAACGTGCGCGGTCGGAATCACGTCTGGTTTATTTCACTCGTGTCAGTTCTCGCCGTAACGGTTTGGTGGCGACTTGAAAAGAAGAAGGTACGAAGGAAGGAGATCGGTAACGCGTATGTCGGGAGGGGAGATGGTGAGACACGATGTCGAAAGGCTGATGTCTAGAGGACGATGAATGATGGTCGGGCAATGGCGGCGTCAAACGAGTCCGTCGCTTTCCCTTCTCTTTCCTGTCGACTGATTTTCTGACCCCCTGGCGCTTCGATAATATCGCGTATTCGACGGAGTGGACCAGGTTGGAGCGAGACGAAGACGGAAACAGTTGCACGCTGGGGCAAGAAAGAGCAAGGAAAACAAGAGGAAGAGAAAGGGAACAAGGGAAGGGAAAGAAAAGAAAAGAAAAAAAAAACTCACCTCGAGTTGATGCCAGTGATGGAAATTGTGATGATGATTGGCAACGAACTGCCAGCTGGGGGTATGGGTTGGTGGGAGGGGGGGGAGAGAGAGGGAGAATTGGCGGCGGAAATGTCCTCGGAAGGGTTTGGTTCAGCGGGACACAACGTAGGAGGG